ATTTAACTGATTATTATAAAATGTGATATTGTTATACTGATAGAAATGCAACATTATTTTCTTAAACAGTGATTTTTCTAACCTTGGCACCCTCTTTCCTATCTCTATTTAAGCTCAGTTTTGATAGATCCATCACTATATATATATAAGGGTAGTTAGATTTATCAAGGTTCAAGAGTCTCTAACACCAGTTTTTAGTGAGGAGAAGGGCAAGAGAGTGTCAGCAGAGATAAGTATTATTGGAAACACATTTTCAATTTAGAAAAAATGTTAACTTCCAAAACATACTTACCTCTGCTGACACTTATAGCTAGAATCCCACACAGAGAAGGTGGAGGGACTAGTGAGGGCATTATCCATACAGAAAGCATCTGCATAGACCATGGGTGTACCAAAATAAGATTGGTACCAGAGTGGGGGAACTGCACTACATCCAGACCATGTATGCTCTTCACCCTGAACTTAGTTCCTCTGTCAAGGATAGAATTGTACATGTGTGATCATCACCATAGGCCAGACATAACCAGACAGCCAAGGTTCCACTACTCAGAGTTGGAATTAAGGGCACTTGGTCCCTATATCCCATGTTGGTGGCTAGGACAATCGAACCGCAAAATTACATATGTATATTTAGTATGGATTGATTCCCAACCTGTAGCTACAGAGTGATGCATTCTGAACCACCAGAATAACAATGAGAAAGTAAGCATCACCGAAGCAGACAAACCATCTCCTCACCCGAAGAAACCCGAAAGGCAACACCCTAGGTTCGGAATGATGGGATCATGTATGCCAAACTCAACCAAAGGAACAAACCTCATCTGGTCTGGAATTACATACATTCATCCTTCCACAAACAATGTACTGAACTGATATTGATAAAAAAATAAGGACCATGCACACCTCAACCAGACAGCTGAGCATCAAATTTGAAATGGCATTACAAGTAGGCACCCACGTAAATTGGTGTTGCTCCTACCTACATCTGGGAAAAAACATTCATGGACCCAGGTAGGAGGGCTCCCAACTTTGCTCTCTTTTCCAAGAGTGGATGAATTCACTCTAACACTCTGGAAGAAAAATATCTGTCCACCACCCCAGTGACTGGAAACCGGATATGGTAAGGACTCCCTAGCTCCACTAGTAGAATCTGGGGGGTAATGCGCACAGAGCCCTAAGGAACAGTGCTCTGGAAACTGTGCAATAGGTGAACCAAATTCCTGAAATTTTTAAATGCAAACTGACCCCAATTTATTCAATCTGATGATTGGCAGGGATGAGCGGGATCCCCTTTGGCTTTACTCATGATAGTCCATGAGTGGCTGTCCAGCATAGTATGGTAGTACCACCTAGTGAGCTCCTAGGTGGTCTTATGGAAAACCTCATTTCTACAGAGCCTGTTGCAACTG